ATACTAAAATACATCTATTTTGTATTTGTCTTTATAGGTAAGATATTATTTAAGTATTCTGGATCATGTTTACTATAGTTTTAGTAATTGTCAAAGTTAGGAATTTGTGTAAATAATTGTCTTTTATGCACGATAAGCTCAGACCATGCTGTTGAAACCTATTCCGGTTTGGTTCCTAACCGTTTTTCGGTTGAACGGAAGTTGCATCGAGCCCTGTGATGAAAAGTTGTTTACATTTTCTAATAGTCTTTTGCCATCCTGTTTTGTTCAATTAATAGGTTGTAAATATTTACTCTTGTATTAATTCTAATATTTTGCTTCAAATAACATGACATTGCATTGTCTATTATTTGTGTTATGTAAGGATATGATAGAATAGTAGCGACCGGCAGCTATTTTTAAATATTATTTTCTTCTTTAGAAGCTTGCTATTTTCCGAAAGCTGTACATCTTAGTATTGTAACAACACCAAGTTTATGAAAATCGGAGCAGAATTGACTGAGTTACTGCCCATTTAGTAACGCGAACTGGCAGACCCCTTGTTCGCGAAATTGGCCATTTTGCTTCAATTTTCAACCCCACTTCATATCTCAGACACCAAAAGTCCTAGAGACATAAGTATTTCACCAAAATAAAGCTGATTTACGCACCAACGCAATCATCCAAACCCATTACACATAGGTTGAGAAGTTTATTTTCTAATGTTTGCAATAACAGTACAGAAGATTAAATAATTACGTAAACTTGAACTAGCTACAAGCAGCTATTTTTTAATATTAATTTGTTGTCTATAACACTGTTATTTTCCCAAAACTGCATATCTCAGCATTGTAACAACACCAATTTTTTAAAAATCGGAGCAGAATTGATGGAGTTACTGTCCGTTTAGTAACGCCAACTGGCAGACCCCCTTTTCGCAAAATTGGCCATTTTGCTTCAATTTTCAATCCCACTCCATATCTGAGAAACGAAAAGAGCTAGAGACATAATTATTTAACCAAAATGAAGCTTATTTATATATCAACACAGTCATACAAGCACATGACACATATCTTGAATAGTTTATTTTCTGAGGTTTGAAACACCGGTACAGAAAATTAAATAGTAACTTTAACTAAACATAATAATAATCAATAATGATACAATACAATCAAAATATTTAAAAACAAAACTTCGTAGTAGAGTATTCAAAACAGAATAAGAATAAACTAAGAATAAAAATAAAATGAAAATATTACCCGTCGGTCCGGCGTCCACAATTGCTTGTGAGCGCTCTAGAGGCTAAAGTTAATATCTGATTGACTTTAAATTTATACACAGTGTTTAAGGTCTTGAAACGAAGAAGCCTATTGATTTTCAGCGATTTCCGATAATTACTGCCAGAGTTATGGCCCTTGATCACTTTGAAAAATCTTGTGGACGCTCTAGAGGCCAAAGTTAATATCCAATTGACCTTAAATTTATACACAGTGTTTGAGCTCATGAGACGAAGAAGCCTATTGATTTTCAAAGATTTCCGATAATTACTGCCAGAGTTATGGCCCTTGATCACTTCAAAAAATCTTGTGGACGCTCTAAAGGCCAAAGTTAATATCCGATTAACTTTAAATTTATACACAGTTTTTAAGGTCATGAGACGAAGAGGCCTATTTATTTTAAGCGATTTCCGATAATTACTGCCAGAGTTATGGCCCTTGATCACTTAAAAAAATCTTGTGGAGGCTCTAAAAGCCAAAGTTAATATCCGATTGACTTCAAATTTATACACAATGGTTAAGGTCATGAGACGAAGAAACCTATTGATTTTCAACGATTTCCAATAATTACTGCCAGAGTTATGGCCCTTGATCACTTCAAAAAATCTTGTGGATGCTCTAGAGGCTAAAGTTAACATCCGATTGACATTAAATTTATACACAGTGTTTAAGGTCACAAGACGATTTCTGATAATTACTGCCAGAGTTATGGCCCTTGATCACTTCAAAAAATCTTGTGGATGCTCTAGAAGCGAAAGTTAATATTCGATTGACTTTAAATTTATACACAGTGTTTAAGGTCATGAGACGAAGATTCCTATTGATTTTCAACGATTTCTGATAATTACTGCCAAAGTTATGGCCCTTGATCACTTTGCAAAATCTTGTGATGCTCTAAAGGCTAAAGTTATAATCCGATTGACTTCAGATTAATAACACAGAGTTTAAGATCTTGAGACGAACAAGTATATTGATTTTCAATGAATTTTTATGACTTGAACAGTTAAATCCATGATATTAAAAGCTTTGCATACAAAACGTTAGCATGGGGCAGAACTTTATAAAAACCAAACAAATTCTAATAGTTTTCTGATAATTACTTTGTGAGTTGTTGCTCTTAATCAGATTTTAGTGTATTATAAATGTTTCATTACCGAAAAAAGTAAAAATATGCGACAACCCTTGTTGACTGCCCGGACGATTAAGTTGCTGTGGGCGTATGTTTCGTTGCCTGTTAAACTATCTTTATACTTTCGATGGCCTACACAAGTTATAGTGGGAGTTCACGTTCTAAGACGTCGGGTACCAAGCAAGCGACATTTGACCCGATTATGTCAGTCATTCGATTAACCAATTGGCGCGACCGCCATGTATTTTTTATCTACTTTTGCTTTGTTTTGATTTCTATTGCCGCTAACGTCTACCCACAGTTCCACGCAAAAAAAGGTCAAACGTTCGATTCGACAGATCATTTGATTGGCTGCCCCCTCATTTCAAGCAGGACACAAGTTAAATAACAACGCTTCCAGATCCAAGTGTAGTAAAGACAAGTAAAACCGAAATTTTGAACTATAAAAACGAAATGAAATTGGATCTGTGTTTTAATCAGATTCCATTATGGTCTGATATCCTTGAGGTATAACTACATGCTGTAGTGTATATTAAAAATCTTTTTACTTTATTTATGCGTAGTTAATATGTATGTTATTGTCTGTGAGATTTGGTATGCATAAATAGGTTTATTTTATTAGCCATTAAAATGTTAATGCACACCTTATGATTTATTTCATGATACAGTCTGACAGATTTTAAAATTAAAACAATAAAAGTCACGTTAAGATATCGACTTTTCATTCTACCTCGAGGTACTAATTTTATACTATAACCAGGATGTCCTGGGTTAGAGAAAGTTCCTCAGGATTTATGGCTTGGTTCTACTTGTTAGCGATGCAGGTCCATTGACAGTTTTGTTTTTGTGCTTTGTGTTGTACCTTTATAATTAAATTTCATATTTCCATTTGTCTACGATTGTCTTGTTGCCAACAAACAAATCCAACTCTGTCTTTGACACAGTTCTCATAAAGTTGAGGTACTGATCTTTATTTGGGAATTTATTTTTAATTTATTTTGGCTTCAGACAGCTTTAAAACAGGCCTATCAATAAATGTTCATGGACAACAACATGGCGGCAGGTTTAATTCCATATATTTATATAAACAGAAATGAACCATTTTAGAGATTACAATTTCACAATTTGATAACATTTATAAAGGAGTGTTAAAGGGGACGAAGGAGTGTTAAAGGGGACGAATGGTTAACGTGTGTGCGTAGTATGATAAGGTCTGTCTTTGAGTCAACTGGCGTGGTTTCGATCCCCAGGTTGTACGTGACAAGGAGTAGGGTCGTCTGTCCAACCTCGTGGGTTATCTCCTGTGTTAGTCTCAAAATGACCTAGTTTATGTCAAGTGGACATTAAACCCTATTTCCTTCATATTTTGAGTTATTTATATAAATTTTGTATTTCAGTATTTGTGGTATACAGCATATACAGAGAGGTAGCGAGGAGAAATCATTGACCATGTTTGAATCCATGTATTTTGTTGTTCTTACGTTTAGTACCGTGGGATACGGAGATATATCACCCGATATTTGGCTTGGACAGCTTTTCATGTTTGTCATGATTATAGTAGCATTCACTTTTATACCGAGACAGGTGAGTTTCATCTACCTGTTTTATACCGAGACAGGTGAGATTCATCTACCTGTTACATACCAAGACAGGTGAGATTCATCTACCTGTTACATACCGAGACAGGTGAGATTCATCTACCTGTTTTAAAGTCTTGGTTCATGATCATCATTTTTATGCGTAAAGAATCTTGAAAATATTTTTGATGATCTGAATAATGTTAGAAATTGTCACATTCTTTGAACAAGACATCTTGGTAATGTAGGGTTTTGAAAATACATCAAATATTGAATCTCTAGAAACATTTTGAAAATGTCGTGCATTTAAAATAATAATAGAAACAAAAAAATATCACAAATCAGTTACGGAAAAAATGAGAGGCATCAGAAGAATTATGCCCGACATTAGAAGTTCTAGGGTGAAACAGTGGCTTAGTGGGTAAGGTGCTGGCTCGCTAACCTGGAGGTCACATGTTCGATCCGTGCATTGTTCGAGGAAACCTTAGTGGGTAAGGTGCTGGCTCGCTAACCTGGAGGTCACATGTTCGATCCCTGCATTGTTCCAGGAAGTAAGTGATTTCCCCCTTGTCAGGGGCGGAGGACAGAGGGCCTGACAAAGGACAACGTTAGTGACAAAAAAACGAGGTCCTGTGTACACATTGGCATGTACGTAAAAGATCCCTTGGCAGTTGGAATATAAGAGTATGTGTATGCCCGTCTTCATTAGCCCAGGTTAGGAGCAGAACAGTAGGACTTTAAACCCCATTTCATTTCATTATTTCGAGGGTGGGTTCCTTTGTCTTCCTGATCACTTCTTTTACCTGTATGTTAGTCCTGTACTGAACTGACCTAGTTTGTGCTAAGATTAATGTTAAGCCCCCCCCCCTCTCTCTCTCTCTCTCTCTCTCTCTCTCTCTCTCTCTCTCTCTGCAGTAATATTATTTCATGGGTTTTTTTTGCAGCTAGAAGAAATTGCGTCGACATGGATACAACAGAAGAAATCTGGTGGAGAATATAAGAAAGGAGAATCAAGTCGTTATCGCCATGTTGTCGTTTGTCTTAAATCACCCAATACAGAAGTTGTTATGAACTTTTTAAATGAATTTTATGCCCATCCAAAACTTGAGGTAATTTGTTATAGTAATACGATTTGCATGAAAAAACTTACGTGAAATAAGTTAGATTGCTAGACACTTAGAACATTTCTTTTGACCAAACTAAAACTTGGAAGTTTTACCCTAAACTACCTGATTTTGCACAAGACTTCCTGATTTTCTACAAAACTTCCTGATTTGGCACAAAACTTCCTGATTTTCTACAAAACTTCCTGATTTGGCACAAAACGTCCTGATTTGGCACAAAACTTCCTGATATCACCCATAATTTATAGAACATATATATCCAGGGACGCCTAGATTGTTCTGCCTTGTGGTGTTATGAGTTTAAATAGTTTGTACTGGCTCCGTCATGGGGAATTCCCTTTGGCTAACTGGGAATTCCATGCCTTGGATCATGGGACAGATTCCCAACAGGAACATCATGTCACACATTAAGACACCTAACGTGGGGTCAAACAGCTTTGCAGACATGGGAGGGCTTATTGTTTCTAAAACAACTCTGAGGAGCATCTCGAGGGTAGAATGTAGCAGTGATGTAAATATGTGGTTTACTGTGTCATTGTTTATATATCTAGGTACGTCTAGATTCTTCTGTCCTGTTATAGTGTCTCGAGTTTAAATATATTTACTAATGACTGGGGCTTTCTGTAACATTTCAAAAAACAATTTAATAAGCAAAACCTTGAAGTATTTCACATTTGTGTTGAAACAAAGAGTAAATCTGGTTTACGTTATCAGCCTTCAAAGAAACAACTGGCCTGGTGAATATCGAGCTGGCTCGCTAACCAGATGGTACTGGGTTTCATCTAAATGTTGACTGAGAAGGGTTCTTGGGATTTCTCCAGCTGAGTTTCCAGCCTAGTAAGGAAAACCATCTAGTTGTTCGTATGAGATGGAAACTGAGGTCCCATATATATACCACTGACAGCACGTTAAAGATCCCCTAAAATTTGGAAATTAAAATAAGGGTAGACCATAGTTTTCCCTCATAGCATACTTCATAGTATATACACGTCTTAATGAGCTTGGTTAGTGCCAGGGGCATTGGATGACCGAAAGGTTAAACTATGCTCGTTTGATCATAAGGTCTGTCATTGGGACAAGTGGCATGGTTTCGACTCCCTGCTTGCACGTGGCAAGGAATAGAGTTGCTTGTCCAACCGCGTGGTTTTCTTCCGGGTCCTCCAGTTTCCTCCCACTGCTAAAGATCCCTATGCGCCAGGCCTGGAAATAACGGTTGTAGATATACCTGACAAAATGTCAGGCACCAATGAAATACTAACGGACATTTTCAACTTAGTGCTAGACATGTATTAATAATATCAATAAAAAAGACAAATCACGGACAAAATGACAGGCACCAGAGGTTTAGTGCCAGATAATGTCTGTGACAGGTGCCTTATTTCCAGGCTTGCTATGCGCTAACAAATTATTGAAATGAAATAAAATCAACCATACAGTATGTTGGTCCTAAAATGACCTAGTTTGTGTCGAGTGGATGTTAAACCCCATTCATCTCTATCTATTATTTCAGGAACACTCAGTTGTACTGGTCAGTACAAAGGAACTAGAAAATGATATGCAGATGATATAAAAGATCCAAAATGGGCGAATCGTGTATTTTATATCCGAGGGTCTGCCTTAAAGGATGTGGATCTGAAAAGATGTCGAATAAACTCAGCAGATGCCTGCTTCTTTTTGGCACCAAAAAATGCGAGGGACAGAAACAAAGCAGTAAGTTGTAGATTTTCAATTGGTTGTTTTGATGAAACGTTAAAATCATATTTGACATTTGACCCCCTTAAACATACATTATGCAAGAGTTAAATCTGCCTATTGTAGGTCTTTCTTTAGGCCTGACATGTTATATAACCTATTAATTAGACATTAATTAACATGAAAAGACCTTAATCAACTCTCGATGGCATCTTGTCAGATTTTCTCTGGATTGGAATCCGATTTGCTGCTCAACGCTTATTAATTATTTAATCCAAAAAAGGATAATCGAGACTATGTTTTTTATTGTACCGACTTTAGTAGTGATGACCGAGGCTAGGACTAAAATTCAAACGCTAATATCTCGGTTCAGAGTGGAGCAATCCGACTGATATTTTCAGCATATTCCCTTTACATTATCTAGATTTTAACTATTGTAGTGCAAACTGCCAGCTGTTTATAATGTCCCTTTAATTTGGGTGAAAAATAAAATTGTTGATCTGTCTTGGTTGAAAAATTTCTGTTGAGATTTAACCAATTTTACGCTGGATTGTCAAAACATTATAGCCTCAAATTTTCTACTTTATCAAACTCTAAGATCATATTTAATAGTGCCAAGCTCAAAACGTTTGTCAGAATTATTTTGTTGATTAATTATTTTTGGTCAATTAATTATTCACTTCATATTTTATTAGGATCAACACACTATTCTCAGATCATGGGCTGTGAAAGATTTTGCTCCAAAATGTCGACAGTATCTTCAACTATTTAAAGCTGAGAATAAAATGCATGTGAAGTTTGCTGAGCATGTGGTTTGTGAAGATGAGTTTAAATATGCTCTATTAGCTAACAACTGTTTATATCCTGGTCTATCTACCCTAGTTACGTTATTACTACATACCTCCAGAGGCAGGTAATTACACTTCTTTTATTTTAATTACACTGTCTGTGTTGTAATTACGCTTTTATCATTACAATTACACTGTTATTATTATAATTACACTTTTATTATTGCAATTACACTGCCTGTGTTGTAATTACACTTTTATTATTACAATTACACTGTTTTATTACAATTACACTTTCATTAATGTAATTACACATGTATTATTATGATTAAAAATTTATAATTATAATTACACTCTTACTGTTGGAATTACACTTTTAATTACACTTTAATTATTGTAAATTACACTTTGATTATTATAATTACACTTTAATTATTATAATTACACTTATTATTACAATTACACTTTTATTATTTAAAATTACACTTTTATTATTTAAATTACACTTTTATTATTATCATACTTTTAGTGTTGTAATTACACTTTTATTATTACCTGTCTATTGTTGAAATTACACTGTTATTATTACAATTACTCTAATATTATTGTAATTACACAATTTTCTACTCTGTTATTTTGTTATAGAGAAGGTGAGTTGGCTAATGAACCATGGCAACAAGTTTATGGTCGTCATTCTGGAATGGAGGTTTATCATATACAGCTGTGTAAAAGTTCTTTCTTTAGAATCTACGAGGGTAAAAAATTCACAGAAGCTTCTGTAGATGCCCATCAAAGGTAGGAACTGAAACATCAAATATTGGCTCATTTTTTGTATTTTACATGATTCAACAAATTCATACACAGTTGGTCATTGAGTCAACAGGCGTGGTTCTGAATCCTCGGTTGTACGTGACAAGGAGTAGGGTCGCTTGTCCAACCTCGTGGGTTTTCTCCAGGCCCTCTGGTTTCCTCCCAATGCTAAAGACCCCGACGCGCAAGCAAATTATTGAAATAAAATTAAAACCATATGTTAGTCCCGAAATGACCTAGTTTATCTCTCTGCCATACAACAGTTGAATGCAACGTATTGGAAAGGTGTTTACAGGTTACACGATACAATTATTCTATGGGTTTTATGGCAAATTGATGTCAAGCGCATATGCTTATGCTGCGTCATTGTTCGTTCTTAGTAACTGAATAAAAGTTGTACACTTTAGATCACAAGGTCTGTCCTAGAGTCAAATGGCGTGGTTTCCATCCCACACTTGTACGTGACAAGGAGCAGGGTCGCCTGTCCAATTTCCGGATTTCTCTAGCTGCTAAAGACCCATACGTGCAAGCCAATTAGTGAAATAAAATAGAATCATATGTTAGTCACGAAATAACCTGGTTTGTGTTGAGTTTCTAATCCCATCTCTCTCTTTATAGATATGGTGTATGCTTAGTGGCTGTTTTAGATGTCAACAAATCGGAACCACGCCTACAGTTAAATCCGGGCGCCGATCATGTCCTGAAAGGGTCAGACTTCTGCTTTTATCTGGGAATGACTCGTGAGGAATATTCCAAAATAACTGGCAGTCCTGAAGAGACATCTGTTGATTCGGTCAGAACTAAAAATATTGGTAGGTTAATATGTTTTATCATACATGACTAATGGTGTTTTAGCACAATGTAAGAGTAAATATGTTTTATCATACATATGGCTAATCGTGTTTTAGCACAACGTAAGAAATGTCAAAGCTGCCAAACTGACAATATTTATGAAATATTGCTACGGCCTACTTGTATTTTGATCTCTGCTTTATAGTATACACAGAACCTTAATTGGTTTTTGACCCTCCATCCTGCACAAACTGACAAAGGGAAACAACTCTGGACATATCCTGAGGAATGTTCTCAGCAAACACAGGAATCTCTGATTATAATCTTTGAGTGGCATTTAAGCATCGGTAAACACATTAACAGAACACAGTTTTTATACGCCCACATTTTCATGAGGATGTATATTGTCGTCGCCCCTGTCCGTCCGTCCGTCCGTCCGGACATCCGTCCGTCCGTCCGTCCACAATTTGTTTGTGGACTCTCTACAGGTCACAATTCTTGTCCGATTTTGACGAAACTTGAAATATAGGTTTATCCCCAAAAGATCTTGGCTGCTTCCGATATTGGCATGTATCGGATCGAAACTTCATGGATTATGGCCCCTGTTTGTACGAAAAATCACGTTTTTAGCTTGTGGACCCTATAGAGGTCACAATTTTTATCCGATTGATTTTGTTGAAACTTGAAATGTAGGTTTATAACCCAAAGATCTCAGTTCCTTTCGATATTCGCGCATATCGGACCGTAACTTCCTGAATTATGGCCCCTGATTGTACGAAAAATCGTGTTTTTAGCTTGTGGACCCTAGAGAGGTCATAATTTTTATCCGATTTAAAAAACCGTATTAATATGTAAGTTTATTACACAAAGATCTCAGTTCCTTTCGATATTCGCGCATATCGGACCGTAACTTTCTGAATTATGGCCCCTGATTGTACGAAACCCAAAGATCTCAGTTCCTTTCGATATTCGCGCATATCGGACCGTAACTTCCTGAATTATGGCCCCTGATTGTACGAAAAATCGTGTTTTTAGCTTGTGGACCCTATAGAGGTCATAATTTTTATCCGATTTAAAAAACCGTATTAATATGTAAGTTTATTACACAAAGATCTCAGTTCCTTTCGATATTCGCGCATATCGGACCGTAACTTTCTGAATTATGGCCCCTGATTGTACGAAAAATCACGTTTTTAGCTTGTGGACTCTATAGAGGTCATAATTTTTATCCGATTTAAAAAAACGTATTATTATATCACCGTTGCACCCTAAGGATGACTGAGTTCGAATTTCGTGAAAATCGTTCCAAAATTGCCAGACAAAATGGCCGCCGTTCGTTCTCAAATAGCGTAAAAATATGGTATATCAAGGTTGTGGACCCTATAGAGGTCACAATTTTTATCCGATTTTGTTGAAACTTGAAATGTTTACAAGTTTATAACCCAAAGATCTTAGTTTTTTTCGATATTCGCGCATATTGAATTTTAATTTCCTGAATTATGGCCCTTGATTGTACAAAAAATCACGTTTTTAGCTTGTGGGCCCTATAGAGGTCATAATTTTTATCCGATTTAAAAAATCGTATTATTATATCACCGTTGCACCCCAAGGACGACTGAGTTTGAATTTCGTGAAAATCGGCCCAAAACTGACCGACAGAATGGCCGCCCTTCGTTCTCAAATAGCGTAAAAATATGGTATATCAAGGTTGTGGACCCTATAGAGGTCACAATTTTTATCCGATTTTGTTGAAACTTGAAATGGAAGTTTATTTTATTTGCGCATATCGGACCTTAACTTCCTGAATTATGGCCCCTGATTTTACGAAAAATCGCGTTTTTAGCTTGTGAACCCTATAGAGGTCATAATTTTTATCCGATTTTGTTGAAACTTGAACTGTAAGTTTATAACCCAAAGATCTCGGTTCCTTTCTATATTCGCGCATATCTGACCCTAACTTCCTGAATTATGGCCCCTGATTGTACGAAAAATCGTGTTTTTAGCTTGTGGACCCTATAGAGTTCATAATTTTTATCCAATTTAAAAAAAATGTATTATTATTACACCAGTACACCCTAAGGACAGCTGAGTTCGAATTTTGTGAAAATCTGCCCAAAACTGACAGACAAAATGGCTGCCCTTCATTCTCAAATAGCGTAAAAATATGGTATATCAAATGTAAGTTTATAACCTAAAGATCTAGGTTTTTTTCGATATTCGCACATATTGAATTTTAATTTCCTGAATTATGGCCCTTGATTGTAGGAAAAATCACTTTCTTCTTAGCTTGTTCTTTATCCATCTCTCGAAAATGTGGGCGTATCCTGCCTGGCAGCCGCTGGTTATGGGATACAATCACTAGTTTTCTTCTAAAAGCACCATGTTAATCTCCTGATTAGTGAGCCAGTGTCATGCTCATTCACTTACCGACACCATGACTCCCTTTAAATCAAAGATAAGGTTATATTATTGAAATCTGAGTTTATATTTTTGAAATTTGGCTTTATATTATTAAAACTTGAGTTTATATTATTAAAACTTGAGTTTATATTAAAACTTGAGTTTATATTAAAACTTGAGTTTATATTAAAACTTGAGTTTATATTAAAACTTGAGAGAAAGAGAGAGAGAAATGGGGTTTAACGTCCACTCGACACAAACTAGGTCATTTCGGGACTAACATATGGTTTAATTTTATTTCAATAATTCGCTTGCGCGTAGGGGTCTTTAGCAGTGGGAGGAAACCGGAGGACCCGGAGAAAACCCACGAGGTTGGACAGGCGACCCTACTCCTTGTCACGTACAATCGGGGATTCTAAACCACGCCAGTCGACTCAATGACAGACTTTATGATACAGCGCGCGCACGCTAACCATTCAGCCATCCAACCCACCCATTAAAACTTGAAATGCTATTACCAGATATTGAGACTTGAGTTTATGTTATTGAAACTTGGGTTTATATTATCAAAAATTTAGTTTATTTTATCAAAAATTGAGTTTATATTAGTTTATATTATCTAAAATTGAGTTTATATTAGTTTATATACTATTCAAAAAAAGTAGGGGATATTTGATTTTGGGGGCATAATACTAAAATATGCAAATGACTACGAAAAAAGTCACTATAGAACCTAACAGAAGAAACATTTCCAGTTACATGTGACGCCCAAACGCACCAATAGCTACCGCATGGAATGCAGGTGATGCTTGGGATCATCATGGGGGTCCAACCCAAGATTTGCACGACTCTGACTTTGAATGTTACAGTCATTGTGGCATTGAATTCCAGGGTGGAAACATCAGTTTAATTGTTTTAGTGACCAGAAAACAAATTTTGATATGCGTCGGCTTACCCAAAATGAAAGGTTACATGCCCTTGGCATGCTACAGATCGGCACAACACAGGCGGTTGTGGCGCGGACGATGAATGTTTCTCAGTCTGTCATAAGCAGGCTATGGTCCAGATACCGTGATACACAATCTGTACAGGACAGACCACGCTCAGGTCGACCAAGGGCGACAACTCAAGCCCAGGATCGATTTATCCATACCTTTGCCTTGAGAAATCGTGTCATCACAGCAAATCAGATCAGCGCTCGTCTTCAAACCGACACTGGTGTGAGAGTGAGTGGCCAGACGATTCGGAATCGACTGCATAGGGGTCACCTTCGAGCCCGACGTCCTCGCGTGATCCCTTGTTTGAGAGATCATCTCATTCAGGCAAGACGTCGTTGGTGTAGGGATCGTCAACACTGGGATAATCGACGCTGGAGCAATGTGATGTTTTCAGATGAGTCAAGGTTCACTGTTGATTTTTTGGACAGACGTAGGAGGGTGTGGCGTCGTCGAAATGAGCGCTTCCAAGACGTTAACGTCATCAGACATGATCGATTTGGAGGTGGTTCTGTTATGGTGTGGGGAGGCATCACTGTTGCTGGAAGAACGGCTTTACATGTTGTTGCAGGGCGTGTTACAGGCCAGTACTACCGGGACAACATCTTGGCAGTCCATGTTGTGCCGTTCGCACGACGTCATGGCCGGCGTTTCATCTTCCAGGATGACAACGCAAGATTTCACAGGGCCAGGATCGTTACAGGTTACCTCCAACAACAGAACATCACCACATTACCTTGGCCAGCACTGAGTCCCGACCTCTCCCCCATCGAGCATGTCTGGGACATGCTTGGACAGAGGTTACGTCAACGTCAACAACGTCCTGCCAATGTCCAAGAACTTGCTGCTGCGTTGCAACAGGAATGGGACAATCTGGACCAAAATGACCTTAGACGTCTCATTAGGAGTATGCCACGTCGGATCAATGCTTGTTTGGCAAACAGAGGAGGATTTACCCGTTACTGACTTGGTTGTGATGCTGTGGTAACTTTGCTGTTTGACCCCGGGTATCATTTTACCCTTATAATGGTCAGTCTGTGCCTTACTTAGTCTAACGATCATTTGGAATAAATCGATGAATGTGAACTTCATTTCATTTTGTCATTTGTTTCTTCGTCAGTTTCATTAGGTGACTTTAATAACACTTAAAAATCAAATATCCCCTACTTTTTTTGAATAGTATATTATCAAAAATTCAGTTTATATTATTAAGACTTGAATTTATATTATTGAAACTTGAGTTTATATTATTGAAACTTGAGTTTAAATTATTGAAACTTGAGTTTAAATTATTGAAACTTGAGTTTAAATTATTGAAACTTGAGTTTAAATTATTGAAACTTGAGTTTAAATTATTGAAACTTGAGTTTATATTATTGTAACTTGAATTTATAATATTGATGTTTGAGTTTATATTATTTGTTTGATTTATCTGATAGAATTGATTGCGTCTGAGATACAGAAATGGTTACAGAGTGAAGATGATGCTGATTGTGACGATGAAGAAAGTGTATTTAGTACAATAACAAGTCAACTTGGTAAAACAATATCAGCTAGATTACATAACGAAAGCCAGGATGGTTAGTACCAATATATATATACAGGATTACGCTCTTTGGTCCGCTTTCACCTCATTGTCCGGAAATTTAATCATAACCTAATAGAAGTGCCATACACAAGGGTAGACATAAGGCCCCCATCACAGACTTTATTAGTATAAATTATCTAACCAACCTAGACATAAAGCATCTGTCACCACCTATCACACACAAATTATAATACACTGGACATCGTACAGGGTGGATACAATATGCCTGATTACACAGCATGTTGGAATACTCAATTGTCTCAATACTGGAAGTATTATACCAGAAGGGGGGGACGGGTGTGGATGGCTGAATGGTTAGCATAAAGCCTGTCATTGAGTCAACTGGTGTGGTTTCGAATCCCCGGTTGTACGTGGAAAGGAGAAGGGTCGCCTGTCCAGCCTCGTGGGTTTTCTCCGGGTCCTCCGGTTTGCTCACACTGCTAAAGACCCCTATGCGCAAGCGAATTATTGAAATAAAAATAAACCATATGTTAGTCCCAAAATGACCCAGTTTGTGTCGAGTGGACGTTTAACCCCATCTCTCTCTCCCCCTCTCTCTCTCTCTCTATCTATCTCTCTCTCTCGAATACCGAGAACTTAAAATAGGATGAATTTAACTGTCAGTCAGGTACGACGGCAAATATATCTGAAACAAGAACTCTAGTACAACATTTTATCCTGGGGGTTGAATCTACTTGATTTCTATTCCCTCACAATCATGAACAAGAGAGAGAGAGAAACGAGGTTTAACGTCCACTTGACACAAACCAATTTTATTTCAACAATTTGCTTGCGCGAATGGGTCTTTAGCAGTGGGAGGAAACCTGACGACCCGGAGAAAACCCACGAGGTTGGATAGGTGACCCTACTCCTTGTCATGTACAACCGGGGAATCGAAACCACGCCAGCTGACTCAATGCCAGACTTCATGATGCAATGCACTAACCATTGAGCCATCCACCTCCACCCCCACTTCCAGTCATAAACAATGATTTTCAAATAACGAAAAGAACTGGGGACCATAGTTCTTACTACAGCATATTGATAGTAACGGGGAAAACCTGGTGTTTTGAAAACGATACTCAGACTCTTAAAGGCTCAATACCACTCTTGTTGTAACAGAATAATATGTCCCACTCTTTATTCTAGTCAACAAATTGTACTATTTTACAATATTCCAATTAACTGGTGATACAAATTTCATCTTAAAACACCTAATTTAAAAAATTGGAAAATTTCAACTAATGATTTGAAAAGCCTGAAGTAAAGCTTTTCAAATGTGACTTGGATTTAAAAATATTTTCGATTCCTCTGGACAAGTGAAATAGTATGTAATGGATAATTTACACAACAGGTAGGACACTTAAACATCTAATACTTAGAATAAGGCTATTTCTTATTCTGTCAAGCCAGCAAGAGTGTTGTTGTCCCTTTAAATGGCTGTATTGAAAAACCCGGTGATTTGAAAACGATAATCAGACTCTTAAATGGCCCTATTGAAAATTCTATTGTTCTTTCTGTGAATCAGTGTCAACACCACTCCTGAAGATGAAAAACGATAAAGATCTCGGCAAGAATCTAGATCCAGTTACAGCTGAAAAAGGAACGGAAACACTGGAACGATTTCCGCAACAAGAATCTGGGAAAATTCTGCAGTATTACGATGATATGGGACAGGAAAGGTGAGCTTTAGTAACAACCGTTGGTTTATACACTGATTCAAAAACTGATTTGTTTAGTTAATGTTTCTTGTTTTTAGCGTTGAAATCCTGCAAATTAGTAACCACACACTACCAAACACAAAAACATGAGGGGGCGGGATGTGGGGGGCTGTCCGAATGGTTAATGAATGCTTGTTAGATCAGAAGGTCTGTTATTGAGTCAAGTGGTGCGGTTTCGATGACAAGGAGTAGGGTATCACCTGTCCAACGGTTTCCTCCCACTGCTAAAGACCCCTACGCACAAGTGAATTATTGAAATAAAAATTGAACCATATGTTAGTCCCGAAATGACCTAGTTTGAGTCAAGTAAACGTTACGATCCATTTCTCCCTTAAGCAAAGTGCAGACTGGTTAACATAAACGGAAAAAAAGATTTGTTTAGATAATGTTTGTTGTTTATTGTTGAATTACTGCAAATCAGTAAAATCAAATGAACAAAAAAAAAAACACAATCGGGCAATAAATTCAAATTATTACAACTGGTGGTTTACAATAAAATGAAAGAAAAATCACATGATCTCAAAATTGTGGCAAACATTAAATTTAAGAAGATTGGCCTAGTTTTTTTAATTTAATAGAAGTAGGTCTGTCTTCATTTTGAATGTCGGGGTTGGGGGGTGGCTTGGATGGCTGAATGGTAAGCACGTGCGCGCTGTATCATAAAGTCTGTCATTGAGTCAACTGGCATGGTTTCGATTCCCCGGTTGTACGTGACAAGCAGTAGGCTCGTCTGTCCAATCTCGTGGGTTTTCTCTGGGTCCTCCGGTTTCCTCCCACTGCTAAAGACTCCTATGTGTAAGCGAATTATGGAAATAAAATTGAACCATATGTTAGTCCCGAAATGACCTAGTTTGTGTCAAGTGGATGTTAAACCCCATTGAAAACTCACAAGGTTGGACAGGTGATACCCTACTCCTTGTCATGTACAAGCGGGGAATCAAACCCACGCCATTTGACTCATTGATAGACCCTATAAACTAAAATTGAAAAGAAGAGTATGGGGTTGACCTAAACAGAACATTGTATTTGATGAATTTTGTGGATTATCAACTTATACATGATCCATTGTACCAGTATGTGTAACCGGTAGATCGAAGGGGGATAACTCTACTTATTTAAATTTCTATCAATGAAATATATTTTGATTTTGTTACAGTTTTATAACAGGACCACCTCCAAGTACATTATACGTGGGAACTAGACGAACTATATGTTATCTTCATAAAGAGGCTCGACCATTATGTTGTACACAATGGGGACAGGTACGTTCTATGGCATATCTTTTAACAGTTACAAATACTAAACAATTACTTACACAATAGGCCTATTTATTTATTTATTTTTTATTTATTTATCTATTTAAAGATATTTATCTATTTACAATATTTATTTATTTATTGATTTATTTATATTTATCTATTTACGATATTTATTTTTTATTTATTCATTTTTTATTTAACAATATTTTTCTATTAACGATATTTATTTTTTATTTATTTATTATTTAACGATATTTATCTATTTACGATATTTAATTATTTTAGGCGTGTGAACATTGTTTATTTTATGTTTATTTTAGGCATGTGAACATTGTTTATTTAAAACAGCTAAAGATGATCGGTGGGATCAACAGTTGATTATTCTGGTAGCAGGATATGGTAGTACAGGAATTTATAATTTTATCGTACCATTACGATCAGATTATCTTAGCGTTAATAACCTCAGTCCTATTATTCTTCTACTTGAACAAGAGTAAGTCAGACATTATTTCTATCAAATAAAACAATTTTGATCAAGTGTAAGTTTGTCATTATTTCTATCAAATAAACCAAACAGCACCACAATATTGAAATGGAGTCAGTGTGTCCTTTCCTGTAATATTTCTGAAGTATATCTCGTTAACCACTCAAGAGGAATCTTTGTACACACATAAACTTATCGTGAATTTATGCTAATCAGAAATTTCTCCTTTCAATAGTTTTTGTGTTCCACAGAAACAAATCAGACTTTTTCCATGGCAGATATAATGGGATGGTCAACCCTATTTGCTGCTCATCTTGTACATTAATAGTATTCGTGTACCTTTCAAAACATGTACAATAACATTATCTATCCCTGTACCGTCTAAAACATTTCTAATGGTGTGTGTGTGGGATCGCTGATCGATGATTGAGTTTGCTTGTTTATAAAAGTGGTTGGTTGGTCGATTGGTTTAACCTGTGTGTTTTAGGTCATAAGCTCTGTCACTGAGTCTGTTAAGCCAAGGCTTGTACGTGACCAGTAATATGGTCACTTATCTAACCTTGTGGATTAACACCCTGTAAGCTGTCAGAATTGAACATCCATTGACCATGTGGTCAAAGGTTACAGTTTCTAACTGTTGTGAAATTCTCTGACCTATTTTTGTAAAGGTATTAAATTAATAGTTTTGGGTATTTTTACTGTTGTAAAGGTTTTAGATTATAAGTATCGGATATTTTTATTTTTTCAGGCCGGATGTAATGTTTATTGAAACTATCGCACATTTCCCATTGGTTTATTGGATGCAGGGGAAAATGACGAAGTAAGGTTTTTATTTCTACATACAAAGTTCCTGTCTGCGCTCCTTTTCTCAAATTGAACTTTTCATCCCATAAATGCCCAGATGTAATCTTTACAGTTGGGTGATCCAACACACACGCTTTAGATCATAAGTTCTGTCATTGAGTCGGGGGATCACGTGGCTAAGTGGGTAAGACGCCGGCTCGCTAGCCTGGAGGTCAGGTGTTCGATCCCTGCATTGGCCGAGAAAGTTCATCCAGATTTTCAGGCGCGGTTTCCCCTTGTCAGTGATGCAGGACGGAGGGCCTGACACGGACAGCTGTCTAGTCGTTCAGATGGTACGAAAAACCAAGGTCCCGTGTGTACACATTGGCGTGCACGTAAAAGATCCCTTGACAGTTGGAATTCGATAAAAGAGTAGGATATAGTGCTGCTGCATGGGCAAAATTTTCCTCATATCACACATTGTATGGCGTATGCCCGTCTTCATTAGCCGAGTCAGAGCAGACCAGTAGGACGTTAAACCCCATTTCATTTCATTGAGTCAAGTGGTTTAACCATTTCTGTCTCTTGCCCTTGATTGAAGTTAAAGACAACAGATTATTTACCCTCTTTGTATCATATTTCACGACTTTACGAACCATGTTACCGTTGTTTTACAGTATTGATGATTTATTAGTGGCTGGTATAAACAAGGCTACACATCTGGTTGTTGCTAATAAGGAGAGTGATGCGGACGCCAATGAAGAGATTTTAACCGATGCAGAAACAGTTGTTACTGTTCAAAAAATAACAAAGTTAGTCGTAAAAAAAATTTATTACTGAAAATTAGGAACTATTGGCACCATAAAATTCTTTTTGAATTGCAAGTAGATTTTGTAATTATCAGTAATTTGTTGACCAACGTTTTGACCAATGCCATATTGGTTGAAATTGTGCTATTAGACTAGTTCGGTTACAGTTGAGGTTAGAAAACACTGAATGAAACATTGTACACAGAGAATCTAAGGAAGTTTAAACATGTTTTTACATAGTTTGAGGACACCTTTTTAGTTTTAGATTTATAAATTGTTTTTGTTAAATTGGTAAGAATGCCCCATGCTTAGGCTTCCTACTCAGTGTATACTCTTGAAAACATCATTTAAACTCAGTTTTTTAATAACTTCCTCACCTAAAGAAAGACTCCCCAAGATATGGGGCCCTTTTCAGTGCTCGGCTCTTGGGCGGTCCCTGATTTATTTGCCCTCAATTAACCTGTATGACAATTGCGTAAATCAGATGATAATTTTCCTAAGTTCTGGTGAATCATGTTCGTAATCGTCGTAGTTTTTATTGCCTGGCAAGCTATAATTTTTGTGTTCTTTTTTTCAGTTTGTTTCCCTCCACAAATGTGATAACAGAATTAAATGATGCTACCAATATGAGATTTATGCAGTTTCAAGCCCACGATGCCTACTCACAGTCTATTTCTAAATTAGAAAAAGTGAGATTTTAATCATAATTTCAATCCTTTAGGCATATTTAAACCAATTTTATTACAAATAATTATTTTTATTACAATAATGATACCTTTTATTACAAATGATCTGAGTTGTGGAGGGGGGGGGGGGTGGATGGCCGATTGGTTAGCGCGTACATGCTCTATCATTAGGTCTGTTATTGAGTTGTATGTGTCCTACCTGTTGTGTAAATTATCCATTACATACTATTTTACTTGTCCAGAGGAATCGAAAATATTTTTAAATCCAAGTCACATTTGAAAAGCTTTACTTCAGGCTTTTCAAATCATTAGTTGAAATTTTCCAATTTTTTAAATTAGGTGTTTTAAGATGAAATTTGTATCACCAGTTAATTGGAATATTGTAAAATAGTACAATTTGTTGACTAGAATAAAGAGTGGGACATATTATTCTGTTACAACAAGAGTGGTATTGAGCCTTTAAGAGTCTGAGTATCGTTTTCAAAACACCAGGTTTCCCCGTTACTATCAATATGCTGTAGTAAGAACTATGGTCCCCAGTTCTTTTCGTTATTTGAAAATCATTGTTTATGACTGGAAGTGGGGGTGGAGGTGGATGGCTCAATGGTTAGTGCATTGCATCATGAAGTCTGGCATTGAGTCAGCTGGCGTGGTTTCGATTCCCCGGTTGTACATGACAAGGAGTAGGGTCGCCTGTCCAACCTCAAGGGTTTTCTCAGGGTCCTCCGGTTTTCTCCCTCTGCTAAAGACTCCTACGCACAAGCAAATTATTTAAATAAAATTAAACCATATGTTAGTCCTGAAATGACCTGGTTTCTCTCTCTCTCTCTCTCTCTCTGGGGGATTGGATGGCTGAATGGTTAGCACCTGCGTGTTGTATCATAAAGTTTCGAATTCCCGGTAGTACGTGACAAGGAGTAGGGTCACCTGTCCAACTTCGTGGGTTTTCTCCGGGTCCTCCAGTTTCCTCCCACTGCTAAAGACCCCTACGCGCAAGCGAATTATGGAAATAAAATTGAACCATATGTTAGTCCCAAATTTACCTAGTTTGTGTTGAGTGGAAGTCAAACCCCATTTCTCTCTCTCTCTCCTCCGGTTTCCTCCCACTGCTAAAGACGTCTACGCGCAAGCGAATTATGGAAATAAAATTGAACCATATGTTAGTCCCAATTTTACCTACTTTGTGTCGAGTGGATGTCAAACCCCATTTCTCTCTCTCTGATTTGAGTTATCTCCCTTTTGTCTATAGTTGTTCCTAACGTTTATTATTTCAGAAATTAAAACAAGAGACCAACTCCAATTTACCACATCTATTCCGTCTACCGTTTGCCTCGGGTCAGGTATTTAGTGCTGGTATGTTAGACAGATTACTGTATCAGGTAAAATATTTTAAATTATAATTTCTTCATTTTATCTTTTAAAGTAAGTGCTGGAGGATGCCACTAAATGCTAGCAAAATGGAAAAGACAAACCCGAGGACAGGACAAACTGCAGGAGAACCGAACTAGAAGACTAAGACTAACTTGCGGACAAGAAAAAAACTAAACTAACATTGTAAGCTATAAACAAATATGAAATCAAGCTAATGGATCCAAGGTTAGCCGTAAGCATCCACTGTTCTGTACGTTATTAAGAGAGATGGTGTCTTGTTTGATAATGTCTTTAGTGTTCGCAGATACAAATAAAATTTACGTTTTAAAGCAGGGCTGGGGGTAATGATAATGGTAATGGAATGTCATCGTTACATTTTTTAAGTAATGGCCATGTAATGGAAGATTTCAAAAGTAATGAGTAATGGAAATGTAATTGATTAAATTCCAAAAATCATGTAATGGGCAATTACTTTTCAATTACATTTTATGGCACATATAAATGTTTCCAATATAACTAGCCTCAAATTTTATAGCATCAAAGAAGTAATTTAAGTCTATCGGACACAAATCCAATTCATATAATTTTAAAAAAAGGTTTGAATTAGTTTTAATGAATTATAATAGGAATAAGAAGGCATTAAACATTTTCTTTTATTACTTTTTTGTAATGTTCATGTAAGACCTTTATTTAGACATGTAACCTGAAAAGAGGATTTCTGAAAAGATGTATATTGTAATCAGAGATTAGTGCTAATTTGCAGGCAATCACATATAGTCAATCAGTCAATCATTCTGTTTTAAAGTTCTACAAACCCTTGAAGACTGAATCATGAAATCAGTAGAAACTGACCAGAACTTGCATTTGGACTTGATTAAATTTTTTAATAGCTTAAATGCTGGGTGTCATACATGAGATTGTGTGAGCTGACTGTTTCTAGAACATCTGATACCACATGTTATAGTTAACAAACTTTCCTAGTACATGTTGTATCTTTGTAGAAAACTATAAATTGGATGAATTGGTCAACCAATGGCTGTAGAAGTTTGAATGGTGCTGAAATGAAATGAAATAGTGTTTCACATTCTATTTTTTTGCTCCAATTGGGCTAATGAAAAAGGAGGGTGCTAACTGGTTAGGTTAGGGTTGGGGTTAAAAAACTGTGTGAACGAAACTTTGTAGCTTTGGAATAATGACATACAGTTAGGTTAGAGTTAGGGTTAGAAAACTCTGTGAATGAAACTTAGTAGCTTTGGAATGACATACAGTTAGGGGCCAGATTTACCTACTTTTGGCGGCTAGGTCAAACTTAACAGTGGCCCCTAAGATACCTGTTGGTCCTAGGACAATGGCCTACTATTCTGTGATTCCTGGGATAATGGCCTACTATTCCGTGGTTCCTAGGACCATGACCTACTATTCTGTGGTTCCTGGGACAATGGCCTGTCAATAAACTATGGTAACACATATATTTGTTTTATTTTTCAGACATTTGTAAAAGGATATTTGATAAGTTTTGTGAGATTATTACTGGGTATTGACGCTGAACAAAATTCAGGACATTTATCTAGTGTGAGTATTTTAAGATATAAGAACAACACAAACTTTGTCAGTTTGAATTCAATAAAGAAGAAGAAGAAATACTGGTTTCCGAGCAAAATTGTTCCCTTCCCCCACCCTCAGTTATGATTTTGATTCCCAAGTTGTACGTGACAAGGAGTAGGGTCGTCTGTCCAACCTTGTGGGTTTTCTCTGGGTCCTCTGGTTTCCTCCCACTGCTAGAGACCCCTACGCACAAGCGAATTATTGAACCATATGTTAGTCCCGAGGTCACGTAGTCGTGTCGAGTGGACGTTTAACCCCAACTCTCTCTCTCTCTCTCTCTCTCTCTCTCTCTCTCTCCACCCTCGGACGACATTGTACTCATAGAGGGAGAGAGAGAGAAATGGGGTCATTTCGGGACTAACATATGGTTTAATTTTATCTACATAATTCGCTTGCGCGTAGGGGTCTTTAGCAGTGGGAGGAAACCGGAGGACCCAGAGAAAACCCACGAGGTTGGACAGGCGACCCTACTCCTTGCCACGTACAACCGGGGATTCAAAACCACGCCAGTCGACTCAATGACAGACTTTATGATACAGCGCGCGCACGCTAACCATTCAGCCATCCAACACCCCTTGTACTCATATAAATGAAAATTAACCATATGCTAGTCTCACAATGATGGTATTATTGTGTTGATATCAACCATATGTTAGTCTCAGAATTATGGTAGTATTATGTTGATATTAACCATATGTTAGTCTCAGAATTATGGTAGTATTGTGTATATGTTAGCCATATGTTAGTCTCACAATGATGGTATTATTATGTTGATATGAACCATATGTTAGTCTCAGAATTATGGTAGTATTGTGTTGATATGAACCATATGTTAGTCTCAGAATGAACAAAGTATTGTGTTGATATGAACCATATGTTAGTCTCAGAATTATGGTAGTATTATGTTGATATTAACCATATGTTAGTCTCAGAATTATGGTAGTAATGTGTTGATATGAACCATATGTTAGTCTCAGAATGAACAAAGTATTGTGTTGATATGAACCATATGTTAGTCTCAGAATGACAAAAGCATTGTGTTGATATGAACCATATGTTAGTCTAAGAATGACAAAAGTATTGTGTTGACAAGATATTAAAGCCAATTCCATTCTTTTGGAAGCCATTAACAATCTTTGAACATTTTTATTGACAGTCTGAGAACTGAACTAAATTATCTCCCTTGAGTCTTCAGTAAACCTAAATGAAATGAAATTTAATGGAGTTTAATATCCTTCTTTTCTGCAAGGATTAGGCTAATGAATACGGACAGACACTATACAGTGTGCTATGAGAAAATTTTGCAAGGATTAGGCTAATGAATACGGACAGAAACTATACAGTGTGCTATGAGAAAATTTTGCCTGAGCAACTGATATAGATATCACAGAAAATAATGAAATAATAGAATTTTGTTCTGGATATTGATGTAGACATTTTAATTTATATTTAAAGGTTCGAGTACGTCGTGCTACATTGGCCCAGTTTCCCACCTACAATGACCTCTATCAGGGGTTAAGTTCCACCACCGGGGAAATACCCATAGCTATTTATAGAACAGAGAGACGTCCTGCTTTATCCGTATCATCTTTTGATGAAAAACCTGTAAGTTAAAGTAACATGCCATTATCATACTAGAACACCTAGTACCACCTGTTATACCCACTAGAGCACCTCATACCATATCTGATTCCCTCAGAACACCTAATACCACAACTTATTCCCCCAGAACACCTAATACAACATCTTATTCCCACTAGAACACCTACTACCACATGTTATACCCACTAGAACACCTCATACCATATCTTATTCACCCAGAACACCTAATACCACAACTTATTCCCGCAGAACACCTAATACAACATCTTATTCCTACTATAACATCTAATACACATCATATTCCCACTAGAACACATAGTACCACCTGTTATTCCTACTAGAACACCTAATACCACATCTTATTACATCTAGAACACCTAATACCACATCTTATTCCCCCAGAACACCTAATACAACATCTTATTCCTACTATAACATCTAATACACATCATATTCCCACTAGAACACCTAGTACCACCTGTTATTCCTACTAGAACACCTAATAATAATAATAATAATAATAATACTTTTATTTAATGAGGATAGTCCATCTTATTCGCCCAGAACACCTCATACCACATTTTATTCCCACTAGAACACCTAATATCACATCTTATTACATCTTGATCACCTAATATCACATCTCTTATTGTATCACTATTTATATATTATTTCAGAAATACTACAATGGGCTATTATTGAGAACATTTTAACTTATAAATCAATGAAAACTTTTTTCTTTTCTTTTCTTTTTTTTTTTTTTACAAAATATGAGAACCTAAGTTAAAAGTTTTTAGAATAGTTGGAGTTTATTTATTTAAACATTTTATGTCTATGAAGTCATAGTGAAAGATTTCAATGTTTAGGTCTGCGAACTTTGATTTGGAGAATATTATCAATTTCCATGCTTGACAACCATTTAAAACTGTTTTTTTCAATCATACAATATATTGTTTCTTTATTTCAGTTCTCAAACAACAATACTAAAATACGCCATAACAATATTCGATCCCGTCCATCCATTCCTGCAAAGCTGTTCGTCCAACAGGATGAAGATTTTGACCAGCCGAGTGAACTGGTGTATAGTCGAATGAGAAGTTTGGATTTAAGCGATGACATTCCATGTAAGTGTTTTACTGTAGCTGGAGGCAGACCATCATATTTCAACATCCAATATTAACATTATAAGATCCCGTGAGAATCAATAGTTCGTTTCGTTTTTTATAGTTTACAATTTCGTTTCATCTATTTACTACAATAGATCAGGAAAAGTTGTTATAACAGGCGTTCTAGTTGAAGTGAGGGATTAGCCAATGAAATAGTCTGTTACGGCGAGTTCTTGGCGTCCTCTGCACGGAACTGTGGGCAAACCCCTAGAAACGTCAACACTGATTGATTAATCAATGTCTGACGTCATAGGGTCAAAAACGCTTGTACAACTGGTCAGATCTTCGTGTTGTGTAGGACATCGAAAGTATAAAAAGAAGGAAACGAAATAAAGACCTGTATTGTAATCAGATTGCGTGAGATTGTATTTGCATCTTGCCAGCGAGAGCGTGTTTTCGAATCCCAGGTTGTACGTGACAAGGAGTAGGGTCGCCTGTCCAACCTTGTGGGTTTTGTCCGGGTCCTCCGGTTTCCTCCCACTGCTAAAGACCACTACGCGCAAGCGAATTATTGAAATAAAATTAAACCAAATGTTAGTCCCGAAATGACCTAGTTTGTGTCGAGTGGACGTTAAACCCCATTTCTCTCTCTCTCTCTCTGCCAGCGAGAGTCGGTGCGTGCACAAGCATAGAACCTGTCTCACAGCATTCTGCTTTTTTTATTTCATACCACAGGGCACACAATCGTTGCATGGCAATACTATATTTCATGAGGTCAATATTTAGATGTACTATGAATGATTTTTCAGATGAAAGTGTAGCCGAGAGAAATATTCTATCATATGTAATAGTTAATCCTTCGCCGAAACGTAAACTAAAGAACGGTGACATGATGTAAGTATTTAATAACAAGTTTAATGTCCACCCGAAACAAACTGGTTTATTTCAGGATTAACATTTTATGGTTCTTTTGGTGGGCATACGTAATACAGTGTGCTATGAGGAACATTTTGCCCGGACATTGGCACTACGGCCTACTCTGATATCGAATTCCAATTGGCAAGTGATCTTTTATGCGCACGCCACTGTGTACACAGGACCTCGGTTTTCCGTCCCATCCGAACGACTATACAGCTGTCCTTTGCTGCAACCTCGGTCCTGCACCACTGACAAGGAGGAACCAGCCGGAAATTCCCGAAGAACTTTCTCGGCCAACGCAGGGATCAAACAAGGACCTCCACGTTAGCGTGCCATCCTGACTCCAGATTTATGTCAAAAAAGAACGTAAAAATGACGTAAAATTTACATTATATCAACATCATTTTCTGACGTTACGTCATTTCCTGACGTTTGCGTGTCAAGGTCTTACTCACTGAGTCACCGTGGCTCCCAGCAACTGAGACGTTACATGCGACTGGAAGACCAGCAGCTGACATCCAGTTTCTGCTACCTGCCTGTGTTCTACTTTTCAGGCAACTACTTGTGCTCACTTTCTCTAAAATGGTCAATCTAGGCGCAAATGAGAACTGATCATGCTTTATAACAATGGGGGGGGGGGGGGTTGAATGGCTGAATGGTTAGCAGGTGCGCGCTGTACCATAAAGCCTGTCATTGAGTCAACTGGCGTGGTTTCGAATCCCCGGTTGTACGTGACAAGGAGTAGGGTCGCCTGTCCAACCTTTAAGGTTTTCTCTGGGTCCTCCGGTTTCCTCCCACTGCTAAAGACCCCTACGCGCAAGCGAATTATTGAAATAAAATTAAACCATATGTTAGTCCCGAAATGACCTAGTTGGTGTCGAGTGGACGTTAAACCCAATTTCTCTCTCTCTCTCTTTATAACAATGATCCTTTCTATCTCTTTATCTGTTAGTTCATCTTCTGGACACCGCTGACAAGGACTGCTGTCTTGTTCGGATGGGACGAACACATTGACATGCATGTAAGAGATCCCTTGACAGTTGGAATTTGATATAACCGTAGGCCGTAGCGTAGCTGTCTAGGCAAATTTAAACTCATAGCACACTGTATGACGTATGTCCGTTTCATTAGCTCTGTCGGAGCAGAACAGTAGGATGTTAAACCCCATTTCATTTTATTTTTGTTGATCTATTACAGATACGTCATCCAGCCGAGTTCCATGTTTGCTGTACCAAATAAACTTAAATGGAAATCTCCGAAAGTGCCTCGTAGAAACTTTGACAATGAATCTGATTCAACGCCTATTTTATCACGACCTACTCGCATTAGTTGGAATTTACCGGCATATCACAACAACTCTTCAAACGGCAAGAGTCCAATATCAAATGAAGAATTTGAGAAGCGAAAAAGATCTAAATCAGAATCTCAAGCGTAATGTGGATATTCTGCTGATGATGTTCGGTGGATTGAAGGCAGCTTATATAAAGAGATCTCAATCTAAAACATTGATACTGGTCATAAGAATCAGTGGTGGTTAAAGTGTGGACCATTATCCTGAGTTTAACTGGAGCTATTACTGTATTGGTCGTCACCTGGTCAAATTGTTGTGGACCATCATCCTGGAAATTTTACTGTATTGGTCGTGGTCAACAATTGGACTATAATCGTGAACTTGACTGGAACTTTTACTGTATTGGTCGTGGTCAAAATGTGGACTGACTGGAACTTTTACGGTATTGATGGTGGTCAAAACATGGATCATTATCGCCTGTTTATCTAAAGTGTTTGAAATATGAAGCACTACCGGGGGCGTTCGTCTACAACTATTACTGCCGGTAAATATTGTATCCACGATTCCATGATCTGAAATAGGTTACCACAAAGTATGTGTATTTGTTGGTGTTCACATGCTTCATTCCTGTGGTGGTTCCTTAGATGTATACTCATGGCCTTTGGGACAATGGTTGGGGTGAAGCTATGAATTTTATTTTATTTCACGACATCACATCCTGTTTTAACAACCTCGTCTCTGTATCAAAAGTTATTTAATTCTTGTCAACTGGTGTGTATGGTGTTCACGGCCAATATCAAATGTTACACACAACTTGTCAGCTAATGTTTATAGTAATCACAACCTAAACATTATCAAATGTTACACAACTTAAATTTTATCAAATGTTCAGGTTGTAACTGGTGTATATGGTATTCACAGCCTGACCAATATCAAACGTTACACAACTTGTTAACTGTTGTCATGGTAATCAAAACCTACACGGTATCAGATGTATACAACTGGTGTTTATGGTTATCACAACCTTAACAGTATCAAATGTTAGCAGTTTGTCAACTTGTAATCACAACCTATATACGATCAAATGTTAGACAACTTGTGAACTGGTGTATATGGTCTTCACAACCTGACCAGTATCAAATGTTAGACAACTTGTCAACTGGTGTATATGGTATTCACAACCTGACGTATATCAAATGTTAGACAACTTGTTAACTGGGGTTTATGGTATTCACAACCTAGCTAACTCTAAAGCAGATTCATTCAATAAACGAATATATTGAAATTACTCAATAGACCATTTTATTTGAAAAGAACATTGGTTTATTATTATGAACTCGAGTATTGGAAGTCTACACATTTGACAATCCACACACCCATAAAAGTTTTAAAAAATTATTAAGAAAAAAATGTATTATTGTTTACCAAATCACCAATAGAAGATGACACTGGCCATATGTTTTAATTGTGAGTTGACCATTCCACAATTCACAAACGGAAAGTGAAAATATTTCACGTGTATCAATATGGTATCAATATCCACTCTCCTCCATCCTCTGTTTCGCCAAAATATTCTTTACCTTAAATGCCTAATAGCTGACTAACTCTATCAAAATAATGCTGTTAGGGGTACTTAATTCCAAGACATCTGTTAGTGGTGATAGTAAAGGGTAGACTGAAGTCGAGGTGACATTGGCCAAATTGGAGTTAATTGGTTCTATAGGACTTGGTGGTTGGGATGGCCCAGTGGTCTAGAGTGCCGCGTTTCGACCTCTAGCTGGCCGGTCACCTCTGGTTTGCGGCTGTGGTTTCAAATCCCTGGTGTGAATGTATGTGGCTTGGAGATAGGGGGTGCCTTCCGGGTCCTTTAGAGGTCTATTCAGTGAATGACCCATGCGTTGTACTTGATAACGAACGGTAAATGTCACCTACACATTATTTTTATAAAATAAAAGTCTTAGGACACCGGTCTCCATTTCCAGATGAAGACTAACGGGTTTAAGTTGTTTGAAAACATATCACATACATTGAGCTGGTTGCGCGGCCCTGAGATAGGGGATTTTAAAGGATTTGAATACAAAATTAAGAAGTTTTATTCTCCCAAATATTATCAGGATTGGCCCTTTAAACACTAAGAACAACATTCCAAAGGATCTAACTAGTTAGAACAACTGCCCACATAACATTATAACGATCGGTTAACTCTTTTTTAAACGTTAATTTAACGTCAGGAAATTATGTAACGCCAGGAGAGAGAGAGAGAGTAGGTCATGATACAACGCGCTAATCATTCACCCCCCCCCCCGATCACTATTGATATTATCATATATATATATATATACTCCTTATTAATATGTCTCATTAACACGCATGTTTTTTTATTATCTTATTCTTTATATTGTTTATTAAAACTAACATAAGAGATTAAAATTGTCGTATTACGTCATTCTTATAGTCTTTCAAGATGGAGTTTGTCATAATTTCCGACAAACACATCATATGATATCGATATATAACAAATTGTTTTTTTTTTTGTCTAAATATTTCTAAACAAACCAATCAATTTTTTTTAATTTCCTAGAAAAGGAGACGAAAAGCTTTTTTTATTCGAATATTATGTGTTTCATACTGTAACCTTCATATTTTCATGGTAAATGGCCTGTGGGACAAAAAAACTATTTTTACTCAATTTATAATAATTTTTAAAATTATTATAGAATTATTATACAGTCTTTTACAAAAGTTTTTGACAATTTTGATTCGATCGAAGAATTCTAAGAGCTCGTTTGTCCTACTGAAACGGTGCACGTGCGCCTGAAGGAATATTTGAGTTTTATACGTCCACATTGCATTTTAGGTTCGTTGCTTTCACCCTTTTACAATATTATTTTAAAATTCGACAGGATTTATTTCTCTTTGGGTTCCGAAAGAACGACATCTGTCGAAATTCAGTATTCGACAAATCCCAACTTATGCAGGTATCGCCCAAGTTGAAATTTATGCAATGTTATAAATTGACACTCGGCAGATTTTTACCTCTGATGGCTTGTTCATACAAGTGTGGGGATTGATTCCTTAACTTTTTAATCGAGTGTGGTGTTATGGTATCGATGACCAAGGAGCCAATTTACTGTTCAGGTCTATTATAATTACGACTGATTAAATGTGTTCATGGTTTGTTGTTTAAATAGGAATTGACAAAAAGCATAAATAACAAAATAACAATTACTTGGCTTTTATTAGAGCGACTTTTTAACTAGACTTCTCTAGTATTCATCAGACAATCTAACTAGGCTTCCCTCCTGTTCTTCAGGCATTTGAACTAGGCTTCTCTGGTATTTTCCAGGCATCAACTAGTCAATCAACTTGGCTAGGGCTATAGTCTTCATCGGGCATTTCAACTTGGCTAGTCAAGTATTCATCGGGCATTTCAATTTGGCTTCTCTAGTATACACTACCCCTGTCTTCATCAACCCAGTCGGGCGGAACACTGGGACGTTAAACTCCATTTCATTTTATTTCATATTCATTGACTGTTACACAAGCCTAGTTGAAACGTTGGTATAATAAAAGCTAAGTAAATGTTATTTGGTTATTTTTAAGTATTTATGTTGATGATTTGTTGGTATGTATTGTTTTATCATCTGATTGTTTTGTATATTAGTATTTATACAATATTTCTATTTTTGTACAGTAATTAATACCATAAATAAATAATATAACAAAAATAGGAATAGTTTTTTTCTGAACGTATATTGTGGACGTATATTGTCGTTGCCTCCGTCCGTCCGTCCGTCCGTCCGTCCGTCCATAAGTGTTTGTGAACACTTTACAGGTCACAATTTTTGTACGCCCACATTTTCATGTGGACATATATTGTCGTCGCCCCTGTCCACCCGGACATCCGTCCGTCCGTCCATAATTTGTTTGTGGACACTCTACATGTCACAATTCTTATGCGATTTTGACGAAACTTGAAATATAGGTTTATCTCCAAAAGATCTCGACTGCTTTCGATATTGGCATGTATCGGATCGAAAGTTCATGGATTATGGCCCCTGATTGTACGAAAAATCACGTTTTTAGGTTGTGGACCATATAGCGGTCACAATATTGATTCAATTCTGATGAAACGTGACATGTATGTTTATATCCCAATGATCTTGGTTCCTTTCGATATTTACGCCCATCATAACTTCCTGAATTATGGCCCCTGATTGTCCGAAAAATCGCCTTTTTTTTTTAGCTTGTGTTCCCTCTGGAACTGTTTGTTGATGAAACTTGAAATGTAAGTTTATAACCGAAAGATCTCGGTTCCGTTCGATATTCGTGCATATCGGACAGTAACTTCCTGAATTATGGCCCCTGATGCACGAAAAATCGCGTTTTTAGCTTGTGGACCCTATAGAGGTCATAATTTTTATCCGATTTAAACAAACCGTATTAGTATATCACCGTTACACCCTAAGGATGGCTGAGTTCGAATTTCGTGATAATCGGCCCAACACTGACAGACAAAATGGCCACCCCTAGTACACAATTAGCGTAAAAATATGGTATATCAATGTTGTAGACCCTCTAGAGGTCACAACTTTCTTCTAATTTTGATGAAACTTGAAATATAAGTTTATAACCCAAAGATATCCGCACGTATCGGATCGTAACTTCCTGAATTGTGGCCCTTGATTGAACAAAAAATCACGTTTTTAGCTTGTGGTCCCTGTAGAGGTCATAATTTGTATCTGATTTAAAAAAAAATGTGTGAATATATCACCATTACACACTAAGGTCTTGATTCCTTTTGATAATCGCGGATACCCGAACTTAACTTCCTGGATTATGGCCCCTGATTGTTCGACAAATGGCATTTTTTTCCAATTTTTAAAAAGCGTTTAAATATTTCACCATTCCACCATAATGAAGGTTGGATTCGAATTTCGGGAAAATCGAAATGAAACTGCCCAACAAAATGGCCGCTCTTTGTACTCAAATTGTATAAAAGTATGCAGTACAAAGGATGTCGACCCTCTAGAGGTCACAATTTTTATCCGATTCTGATGAAACTTAAAACATGTTTTTATATTCCAAAGATCTCAGTCCCTTTGATATATGCGCATTTCAGACTATAACTTTCTGGATTATTGTCCCTGATTGTACAAAAAATCCCGTTAGTTTTTAGCCTGTTCTCTATCCATCTCTTGCAAAACGTGGGCGTATCCTGCCTGGCAGCCGTATAGGATTATCACCCTACGGTCTCGGTTCCTTTCGATATTGGCATGTATGAGACTTTATCTTTATGGATTTTGGCCCCTGATTGTACAAAAATTCACCTTTTTAGCTTGTGAACACTGTAGAGGTCACAATTTTTTATCCGATCTGGTTTAAACCTGAAATGTATGTTTATTACCAACAGATCTTGGTTCCTGTCAATATTCGCGCAAATAGGCCAATAGCTTCCTGAATTATGGCCCCTGATTGTATGAAAAATCGCGTTTTTAGCTTGTGGTCCCTCTGGAGGTCACAATTATTATTCGATTTAAAAAAAAACGTTCGAAATTTATCCCCGTTAAAAAACGGCCGCCCCTAGTACGCAAATAGTGTAAACATCTGGTAAATCAAGGTTGTTGACCCTCTATAGGTCACAATTTTGATCCGATTTCAATGAAACTCGAAATACATGTTTATAACCCAAAGATATTGGTTCCTGGCAATATTCGTAACTTTCTGAATTATGGCCCTTGATTGAACAAAAAATCACATTTTTAGTTTATGGTCCCTGTAGAGGTCACAATTTTTTCCGTTCGTTCGTTCGTTCGTTCGTGAGTGAGTTTAACGTCCACTTCCACAAAGGGTGATATCGTAGACAAGAAATTTTTTCCGATTTTAAAAACCTTTTAAATACATCACCATTCCACCATAATGAAGGATGAATTCGTATTTCGGGAAAATCGAAATGAAACTGCCCGACAAAATGGCCGCTCTTTGTACGCAAATTGTGTAGAAGTGTGTAGAGGTCACAATTTTTATCCGATTTTGATGAAACTTAAAATATATCTTTATATCCCAAAAATCTCAATCCCTTTTGATTTTTGCACATTTCAGGCCATAACTTTCTGGATTATTGCCCCTGATTGTACAAAAAATCTCTTGCAAAATGTGGGCGCATCTTTGCCTGGCAGCCGCTGGTTTACACGTTAATTTGACGTAAACGTCACATACAAATATTGTCAACGTTACATACCTCAACGTTTCACCGCAGTTTTTGCGCAATATAGAACGATGGGTGCTGACGTGCCATAAAGATCCATATCGAATTCATTCATCTAAAACTAAGTGATGTAGTCAAAGTTTGCAATAAATTAATTTTAATACGATCCTGAATATTATTGTCATAATATTATATATTATACACCAATAATAATCTAGGTTAATATTTATTTGAGAATATTCAGTATAACTCAATGATGTGAAAGTTTCATCCTGGTTTACGTTCTCTTGATCTGTGTGTGAAACAAAGAGTAGTTGTTCAGTATGACGCAATGATATGAAAGATGCATCCGGCGTGACGTCCTGTTGACCTTGATACAGACAACATTATTATAGTTTTATATATTTAATAACTCATTATCTATTAGGTGTCAGCCATAGTACATGATAATTGGTCGACAAGAAGAACATTATTATAGTTGGTACAATGTTGATAGATAAAATGTTGACTAAAGATAGAGTATTAATCTGTCTGCTTATATCCAGTCATGTTTATTTTGTATTGGGTAAGTTTTATATATTTAATAAATCATTATCTATTAGGTAATCATGAAAGTTCCAGGGAATAAGTAATATATTGAAAGAGGGATAAAGAAATAAATACTTACCGCTCATGCAATACACGATAACCCGTATTTTATTTTTTAAATCCTCCTCCCCGACTAACTTAATAGTATTTAGTGTCACCCAACTGCCCCCCCCCTCTAACTTAATAGTATTTAGTGTCACCCAACTGCCCCCCCCCCCACTAACTTAATAGTATTCAGTGTCACCAAACTGCCCCCCCCCCCCCCACTAACTTAATAGTATTAAGTGTCACCCAACTGTCCCCCCACTAACTTAATAGTATTTAGTGTCACCCAACTACCCCCCCCCCCCCACAAACTTAATAGTATTTAGCGTTACCCAATAGTAGTACTTTTTGTTACAGTGTATGTAAATTTAAATGTACGGTAAATGAAACTACTTGTCAGTGGTATTCTGTGTGATATCTGGAATGTCGTAGTATGACTTGTATTTTGACATTTAAGACCCCACCCTCCCTCGCAATCAATTAATAGAGTTTAATAGCGTACAACCTTTCAAGTTATTTTCTGGCACATCTATATTTACTTACCCTGAAGTTCTAAACTTTATTAGGGGGGGGGGGGGTAAAATTTAAAAAAAAAACATCTTATAAAGAAATTTCAGATTATATGTTCAGAAGCAGCTGGAAAATATGTTTATTGTTTGCTACAAAATGTAAATTATTTCTTCTTGCGCATTTGTATTTACATACCTTGAAAAAATAACAAATTTGAAATAGCACTAACATGTATTAAATGAGGAGGGGAGGGGGTATTTGACGTCAAAATACGGGCCATAACACAAAAATACAAGATATCGGGATGCATACCATTAAAAAAGTCTGAATACATTTTTTCAAAATTGTAAAATATTGTGTAAAATATTCATATTTACATACCTTATTAAAACAGATATAATTTGGATCGTCTGAACTCTATTTAGTGAGGGGAGGGGGTATTTTAAAGTCAAAATACGCGTCTTAATACGAAATTCCAGTTATCGTATAATGCTTCACCGGAAAGTATTTGTCTATCGCTCTTTGAATATACCAGTATTAGCTATATTACTGGCACATTTATGATTACATGATTTAGAAGAAATCAAGCCCTCTTTCGTTTGTCCAAAGAAATATGTCGCTATCCGACACAACCTAATTTCTGAAAACAGACTACTTTCAATTTATTTTATTAAATCCTAGATCAGATTTACCAATATATATATATTCGAAATATATATATATTGCATGAATGAAGGGTGTAAAATGATATTTTCTCAATTGTCTAACAGTCATAATGTTCCGGTTTTTGGAGAAATATACAAAATGCAATCGGGATTGACATGCCACCGAGAATTGGTAGTCCTTGAGTGTAGTGCCGGATGGAGGGCCTGACAAGGACAGCTGTCTAGTCGTTCGGATGGGACGAAAACCCGAGGTATCGTATATACACTGGAATGCACGTAAAATATCCCTTGGCAGTTTGAATTCGATGTAAGAGTAGACCATAGTGCCGCTGTCCGGGCAACATTTCTCTCATAGCACACTGTGTGGCGCACGGCCGTCTTCATTAGCCCAGTCGGAGCAGAACAGTAGGAAATGAAATGAAATAAAATGGGGTTTAACTTCCTACTTATCTGCACCAACGGGTATAATGAAGACGGGGGTCTATCTGGTCAATTTACAATAGCAGCTATACTATTCAAAAAAAGTAGGGGATATTTGATTTTGGGGGCATAATACTAAAATATGCAAATGACTACGAAAAAAGTCACTATAGAACCTAACAGAAGAAACATTTCCAGTTACATGTGACGCCCAAACGCACCAATAGCTACCGCATGGAATGCAGGTGATGCTTGGGATCATCATGGGGGTCCAACCCAAGATTTGCACGACTCTGACTTTGAATGTTACAGTCATTGTGGCATTGTTTGCTACAAAATGTAAATTATTTCTTCTTGCGCATTTGTATTTACATACCTTGAAAAAATAACAAATTTGAAATAGCACTAACATGTATTAAATGAGGAGGGGAGGGGGTATTTGACGTCAAAATACGGGCCATAACACAAAAATACAAGATATCGGGATGCATACCATTAAAAAAGTCTGAATACATTTTTTCAAAATTGTAAAATATTGTGTAAAATATTCATATTTACATACCTTATTAAAACAGATATAATTTGGATCGTCTGAACTCTATTTAGTGAGGGGAGGGGGTATTTAAAAGTCAAAATACGCGTCTTAATACGAAATTCCAGTTATCGTATAATGCTTCACCGGAAAGTATTTGTCTATCGCTCTTTGAATATACGAGTATTAGCTATATTACTGGCACATTTATGATTACATGATTTAGAAGAAATCAAGCCCTCTTTCGTTTGTCCAAAGAAATATGTCGCTATCCGACACAACCTAATTTCTGAAAACAGACTACTTTCAATTTTTTTTATTAAATCCTAGATCAGATTTACCAATATATATATATTCGAAATATATATATATTGCATGAATGAAGGGTGTAAAATGATATTTTCTCAATTGTGTAACAGTCATAATGTTCCGGTTTTTGGAGAAATATACAAAATGCAATCGGGATTGACATGCCACCGAGAATTGGTAGTCCTTGAGTGTAGTGCCGGATGGAGGGCCTGACAAGGACAGCTGTCTAGTCGTTCGGATGGGACGAAAACCCGAGGTATCGTATATACACTGGAATGCACGTAAAATATCCCTTGGCAGTTTGAATTCGATGTAAGAGTAGACCATAGTGCCGCTGTCCGGGCAACATTTCTCTCATAGCACACTGTGTGGCGCACGGCCGTCTTCATTAGCCCAGTCGGAGCAGAACAGTAGGAAATGAAATGAAATAAAATGGGGTTTAACTTCCTACTTATCTGCACCAACGGGTATAATGAAGACGGGGGTCTATCTGGTCAATTTACAATAGCAGCTATACTATTCAAAAAAAGTAGGGGATATTTGATTTTGGGGGCATAATACTAAAATATGCAAATGACTACGAAAAAAGTCACTATAGAACCTAACAGAAGAAACATTTCCAGTTACATGTGACGCCCAAACGCACCAATAGCTACCGCATGGAATGCAGGTGATGCGTGGGATCATCATGGGGGTCCAACCCAAGATTTGCACGACTCTGACTTTGAATGTTACAGTCATTGTGGCATTGAATTCCAGGGTGGAAACATCAGTTTAATTGTTTTAGTGACCAGAAAACAAGTTTTGATATGCGTCGGCTTACCCAAAATGAAAGGTTACGTGCCCTTGGCATGCTACAGATCGGCACAACACAGGCGGTTGTGGCGCGGACGATGAATGTTTCTCAGTCTGTCATAAGCAGGCTATGGTCCAGATACCGTGATACACAATCTGTACAGGACAGACCACGCTCAGGTCGACCAAGGGCGACAACTCAAGCCCAGGATCGATTTATCCGTACCTTGGCCTTGAGAAATCGTGTCATCACAGCAAATCAGATCAGCGCTCGTCTTCAAACAGACACTGGTGTGAGAGTGAGTGGCCAGACGATTCGGAATCGACTGCATAGGGGTCACCTTCGCGCCCGACGTCCTCGCGTGATGCCTTGTTTGAGAGATCATCACATTCAGGCAAGACGTCGTTGGTGTAGGGATCGTCAACACTGGGATAATCGACGCTGGAGCAATGTGATGTTTTCAGATGAGTCAAGGTTCACTGTTGATTTTTTGGACAGACGTAGGAGGGTGTGGCGTCGTCGAAACGAGCGCTTCCAAGACGTTAACGTCATCTTCCAGGATGATAACGCAAGATGTCACAGGGCCAGGATCGTTACAGGTTACCTCCAACAACAGAACATCACCACATTACCTTGGCCAGCACTGAGTCCCGACCTCTCCCCCATCGAGCATGTCTGGGACATGCTTGGACAGAGGTTACGTCAACGTCAACAACGTCCTGCCAATGTCCAAGAACTTGCTGCTGCGTTGCAACAGGAATGGGACAATCTGGACCAAAATGACCTTAGACGTCTCATTAGGAGTATGCCACGTCGGATCAATGCTTGTTTGGCAAACAGAGGAGGATTTACCCGTTACTGACTTGGTTGTGATGCTGTGGTAACTTTGCTGTTTGACCCCGGGTATCATTTTACCCTTATAATGGTCAGTCTGTGCCTTACTTAGTCTAACGATCATTTGGAATAAATCGATGAATGTGAACTTCATTTCATTTTGTCATTTGTTTCTTCGTCAGTTTCATTAGGTGACTTTAATAACATTTAAAAATCAAATATCCCCTACTTTTTTTGAATAGTATATTACATGCATCATATGTTAATTCTTATCAGTAGTATAGTGGTATGTATTTTAGTTTGTATACCTGAACTCGCTTTCATCAACGGGAGGATCAAGCTGGCTAAGTGGGTAAGAAGCCGGCTCGCTAGCCTGCAGGGCGGGTGTTCGATCCCTGTATTGGCCGAGAAAGTTTCATCCAGATTTTCCGGCGTGGTTCCCACTTGTCAGTGATGCAGGACGGAGGGCCTGACAAGGACAGTTGTCTAGTTGTTCGGATGGCACAAAAAAAAACAAGTTCCCGTGACACATTGGCATGCACGTAAAAGATCCCTTGACAGTTGGAATTCGATATAAGAGTAGTGCCGCTGTCCGGGCAAAATTTCCCTCATAGCACCCTGTATGGCGCATGCCCGTCTTCATTAACCCAGGTCGGAGCATTTCAGTTCATCAACGGGTATCTCTTTGACAGCTGACACTGTCTACTATACAATGTCTATATCAGCCGTGGAGTATCGGTACTTTGATGTTGAATGGCATCTAATTTGAACCTTCTCATGATTTAAAGATACTTTCCCAGAAAAGTATTTATCGGGTGGCAATTTTGGTATAATCGAAAGTAGAAATATCCAATCTTACTAGAAAA